GACCCTATCTCTAAAATTTTTTTTACAATTAGCCGAGTGTGGTAGTGCACACCTGTGGTCTCAGCTACATCTTAATTTTATAACATTGTAGTTCAGATTAATACCAACTTTGTTTCAATAGTATATAAAAACTTTGCTTCTCTAAGGCTCCACTCTCACCCCCTCCTTTATCCTGTTATTGTCACACATTACATCTTTATACACTTTATGTTCATCAACTAGATTTATAATTATTGCATTATGTAAGTATCTTTTTCTTATTTTTTTTCTTTATTTTGGGACAGAGTCTTGCTCTGTTGCCCAGGCTGGAGTGCAGTGGCACAGTTTTGACCCACTGCAACCTCTGCCTCCAGGTTCAAGCGATTCTAGTGCCTCAGCCTCCTGAGTAGCTGGGACTGCAGGCACGTAACACCATGCCTGGCTAATTTTTGTATTTTCAGTAGAGACAGGGTTTCACCATGTTTCCCAGGCTGGTCTCAAACTCTTGACCTCAAGTGATCCTCCAGCCTCAGCCTCCCAAAGTGCTGGGATTACAGGCTGAGCCACTGCGCCCGGCCAGTGCTTTTTATTTCTTTTTCACGTTAGTACTTCTTATAGGGCAGGTCTTTTGGCAACAAAGTCTCTCACTTTTTATTTATCTAGAATATCTTAATTTCTCTTTTATTTCAAAGGTAGTTTTGCCGGGTATAGAATTATTGGTTGACAGTTTCTTCAGCACTTTGAATATGCCATTTCATTGCCTTTTGTCCTCCACTGTTGTGTGTGGTTGTTTTGTTTTGTTTTCAGACAGGGTCTTCCTCTGTTACCCAGGCTGGAGTGCAGTGGTGCAGCCACTCACCGCTTCCACCTCCCAGCTTCCACCTCCCAGGCTCAAGCAATCCTGTCACCTCAGCCTCCTGGGTAGCTGAGACTACAGGCATGCGCCACCACGGCCAGCTTTTTAAAAATTTTTTGTAGCGACAGGGTTTTACTATATTGCCTGTGCTGGTATCCAACTCCTGACTTCAAGCAATTCTTGAGCCTTCAGCCTCCCAAAGTACTGGGATTACAGGTGTGAGCAACCATGCCCAGCACCTCCATTGTTTTTGAAGAGAAATCATCTACTAATCTTACTGAGGATCCCTTGTATGTGATGAGTTGCTTTTCTCTTGCTGCTTTCAAGATATTCTGTCTTTGGCTTCTGTCAGTTTGATTATAGTATGTTAAGATGTGGATCCCTGAGTTCTTCCTACTTGTACTTTCTTGAGCTTCTTGAATACGCAGATTGTCTTTCATACCGTTTGGGAAGTTTGGGGCCATTATTTCTTCAAATGTTCTTTCTCCTTTTTTCTGTTTTTCTTCTCCTTGTGGGATTCTCATTATGTGTATGTTAGTTAGCTTGATGCTGTGTTCCACAAACAGGTCTCTGAGATTCCATTCACTTTCATTCATTTTTGTTTCTGTTCCTCAGAGTAAATAATCTAAATTGACCTTCAAGTTCCCAATTCTTTCTTCTGCCTGATGTAACGTGCCATTGAGAACCTCTGGTAATTTTTACATCTCAGTTACCATACTTTCCAACTCTAGAATTTCTATTTGGCTTCTTTTTATGGTTTCTATCTCTTTATTGATATTCTGTATTTGATGAGACATTGCTTTCATACTTTCCTTTAGTTCTCTAGTCTACAGAACTGAATGGTTTCTCTTATCTCTTTGAACATATTTTAAATAGCTGAATTAAATCTTTCTCTAGGCCAGGCATGGTGGCTTGTGCCTATAATCCCAGCACTTTGGGAGGCTGAGGTTGAGGCCAGGAGTGCAAGACCAGCCTGGGCAACTTAGCAAGTCCCCACCTCTACAAAAAAAAATTTTTTTCTGTCTAGTAAGTCTAACATCTGGTCTTTCTTAGGGACAATTTCTGCTTATTTCTCGCCCCCACCACATGTGTGGACCATACTTTGTTTTCTTGCATCTTTCATAAATTTTTGTTGAAAATTGAGTATTTTAAATAATATAATATAGCAATTCTGAAAATCAGATCCATGCTCCCAGGGTTTGGTGTTACTGCTGCTTGTGTTAGTAGTTGCTATTTATTTAGTGACTTTTCTGAACTTCTTCAGTAAAGTCTTGCGTTATATATCATGTGTGGCCACTGAAGTCTCTTCTTGGTTAGCTTACCGATCAGCTAATGATTAAATGGAGGTTTACTTAAATTCTTGGAACTGATAAGTCTCCTAGTTTTTGCCAAGGGGCTCTGTGTACATGTTGGGGCATACCTTCAGCACTCAGCCAGATAGTTTACAGCCATGCCTTAGCTTTCACTTCTTGCTTTTGCAGAACCTCAAGATCAGCCAGGGGTGAGAGTTGATGAACTTAGTAGGTCTTCCCCGACCTGTCAGTTACAGCACGGTTTTAAATCTCTAAAGGCTCACAGGGCACGTGCCTGTATTCCCAGATCTCAGGAGGCAAAGGAAGAAGGATCCTTTGAGTCCAGGAATTCTGGGCTGTAGCGTGCTATGCTGATTGAGTGTCCTCACTAAGTTCAGCATCAGTATGGTGACCTCCCGGGAACAGGAGACCACCGGGTTGCCTAAAAAGGGGTGTACCAGCCCCGTTCGGGAATGGAGCAGGTCGGAACTCCCATGCTGATCACTAGTGGGATCGTGCCTGTGAATAACCACTGCTCTCCAGCCTGGGTAACACAGTGAGTGAGAATGTGTCCCTTAAAAAAAAGTCTCATTGACCATAGACTAATTAACTATTTAATCATGGGAAATGATTAGGGGAAAGACATAAAAAGAGAAACTGTAATTCTCTTTTTTTTGCTCTATCACGCAGGCTGGAGTGCAGTGGCTTGATCTCGGCTCACTGCAACTTCCGCCTCCCGGGTTCAAGCAATTCTCCTGCCTCAGCCTCCCGAACAGCTGGAACTACAGGCAAGCGTGGCGGTGAACTGCTAATGAGAAATTGTAATTCTCATAGAGGTCCTCCCAGAGGAGTAGAAGAAGGTTGAAAGGCATTTCTGTATTTAGTCTTCTCAACATTAAGGCTGGGCCAGTGGCTCACACCAGCACTTTGGGAGGCCAAGGCAGGCGGATCACTTGAGAGCAGGAGTTCAAGACCAGCCTGGCCAACATGATGAAACTCCCATCTCTACTAAAAACACAAAAATTGGTCAGGCATGGTGGTGCATGCCTATAGTCCCAGCTGTTTGGGAGACTGAGGAAGGAGGATTACCTGAGCTTGGGAAGTGGAGGTTGCAGTGAGCCAAGATCATGCCGCTGCACTCCAGCCTGGTCAATGGAGTGAGACCCTGTTTGGGTGAGGAGGGAGGGGAGAGGAGAAAGGAAGGAAAGAAAATAGAAATAATTAAGGAGGAGGGAAGGAAAAAGAGAGAGAATGAAAAAGAAAAAATGAAGAACGAAAATAAAAATTAGAAAAAAAGTAAGGTTAAAGTAAACCCTTTTCTCATACAGATTAAACACATGAGTTCAAATTACAGCTTTGCTGCTTAATAGCTGGGTGACCTAGGACAAGTTATATAACCTCTCTGTGCCTCAGTTTCCTCATTTAAAAATAGGGCAATAATAATGTCTACCACATAAGGTTATCGTGAGGATTAAATGTGAAATGCTGATCCCAAATACCTGGCAACCCAGTAGATACTCACTGTAATAATTATTATCTGTATAATTTCTGCAGAAGTACAATGATGATTCTTAAAGGCAGATTTTCTTTTATTCCTGTTTCTTTTCTTTTTCTTGTTCACTTTAAAGAATTAAACAGAAAATCGATTCCAGCATTTTGGAATAATAATTTGCATCAAAATCAATTTATTCATTTTATTGACATATAAACAAAATGTCATTTGTTTATTCAATAAACATTTGTTAAATGCCTAATACATTTCAGACATCATGCCAGGCACAGGGATGAGAGGGCATGGTGGCGGGCACCTGTAATCCCAGCTACTCGGGAGGCTGAGGCAGGAGAATTGCTTGAACCCGGGAGGTGGAGATTGCAGTAAGCCGAGATTGCGCCACTGCACTCCAGCCTGAGCGACATAGTGAGACTCCGTATCAAAAAAAAAAAAAAAAAAAAGTGGTCTCTGTCCTCAAGGAGCTCATAGTCCGGGAGACCGACAAGTGGACAGGTGATTACACGCAATGTAAGAAAGGCTGTGATGTCATAAAAGAAGAAAGTGGGAGTAGGGTTTTGACCAGTTCCTCCTGTTAGATTTGTTCCTTTTTCTTTGGCTATAAAGCAAAAGAATTGGTCCTATGTTTTTTTAACTGTGCAAATTAAACCATAAATTTAAAAAACTTTATAAAGATAAAAGACAAGCAGCCAGCTGCAGTGACTCATGCCTGTAATCCTAACAGTTTGGGAGGCTGAGGCAGGTAGATCACCTGAGGTCAGGAGTTCAAAACCAGCCTGGCCAATATGGTGAAACCCCGTCTCTATTAAAAATACAAAAATTAGCTGGGCGTGGTGGCGGGCACCTGTAATCCCAGCTACTCGGAAGGCTGAGGCAGGACAGGAGAATCGCTTGAACCTCGGAGGCGGAGGTTGCAGCGAGCTGAGATGGAACCATTGCACTCCAGCCTGGGCAACAAGAGCTTGACTCCATCCCCCCCCCCAAAAAAAAAAAAAAAAAGATGAACAACTTGAATTATGGAGGACACTAGAAATACTGTTTCCTACACAGTCAGGGCTTCCTACTAACATAGTCACTTGTAGGTTTTTTGACCTGAAAAGTTCTGTGGCATAGTTTTTCTTTGCTATCCACTTTTTTTCCCTTGTAGTTCTTCCCCTCGTTCTCTCCTCTACTTCTAGAGACCTGGGTAGTTCCCTGAGGAGTAGTGCTTTACAGAGTCTAATGGTGATTTATTAGGTATAAACAGAAAACATTTTTTTCTTTTTTACCTACAAGTTCTATAGCAAAAAATGAATATAAACTTTTCATGCAGTTTCTTTCACATTGAATATTCAGGTTATTTTAATTTCATTCCATTTTTCAGAATTCTCAATCGCAATCCTCTGACAACTGTTGAAGATCCGTATCTCTTTAAATTGCCAGCATTAAAATATCTGTAAGTACTATAGTACTCTCACGAGTCATGAGATGATTTATGCTTTTTAAATTTTTATCAAAGCTTAAGTATTTTGCATTTAGGCTAAAATGTCATAATTATTGGCAAAGAAAAAAATTAAAGAGGATGTATAATTGTTAAGCCAGCAAGGGAAAAGAACAGTGTTGAAGAACCCATATAGATTTGGAACATGTAGACACATGGAAGAATATTAATTTACCAAGAAAGCAAAGGGGAAAAGGTGTTCATTATTCTAAAAATGAAAAAAAGAGTAAATAAAATGGTGAATGCAATTTGAAAATGAGAAGATAATGGTTAAAAAAGAAAAAGGTGTAAGTTCTGCTCTTGAATATCATGAATTTGATGATGCAAATCAACTTAAATTTCTCTAGTAAGAGCTCCCTGGAATTCTACAGCAAATAAACTCTTGAGCTGGCTTGTTTTATAGAGAAACTAAAATTGAAGTAATCACATGTCCTTGAAATGCCTTTTTAAGTACAGAATTTTTTATTGGGGTTCATATCATGAATGTTTCGACTTTCTTCTTCAGAGACATGGGAAAAACGCAAGTTCCACTTACAACACTTAAGAACATTCTCACGATGACTGTTGAACTGGAAAAACTGTAAGTTATTCTCTTCTTAGATTTATTTTCACTTAGTTGGTTCTTTAGGTTTGTTTTATTATTTTCTTAAGTCAGGTTTATTGAGTTGTAATTTTCATATACTAACATTCACCCTTTTTAAGGGTACAGTTTGATGAGTTTTGACAAATGTATAGTTATATAACCACCACCACATTCCCAATATAAAGCATTTCTGATGCCTCAAAAAGGCCCCTCCTCCCACCATTAGCCCCTGTTAGCTACTAATCTGATTTCTGTTCCTATACTTTTGCCTTTTCCAGAATGTCTTATAAATGAAATCATACAGCATGTTGCCTCTTGTGTTTGGCTTCTTTCACATAGCATTTTTTTTTTTTTTTTTTGAGACATAGAGTCTCACTCTGTCACCCAGGCTGCAGTGCAGCGGCACGACCTAGACTCACTGCAACCTCCGCCTCCCAGGTTCAAGTGATTCTCCTGCCTCAGCCTCCTAAGTAGCTGGGATTACAGGCGCATGCCACCACGCCCGGCTAATTTTTGTATTTTTAGTAGAGACAAGGTTTCACCATGTTGGCCAGGTTGGTTTCGAACTCCTGACCTCAAGTGATCCGCCCGCCTCAGCCTCCCAAAGTGGTAGGATTACAGATGTGATCCAACTCGCCTGGTCTCACTCATCATAAGTTTTTTTGAGATTCTGCTACCATCCACGTTGTTGCACTCATCACTACAGCTGGCCCTCCATATCTGCAGGTTGCTCATCCATGGATTCTACTAACCATGGATGGAGAATATTTGGAAAAAATAAAATATATAAAACAACAATACAACAATAAAAACAGTAGAAAAGTTAAAATACAGTATAATTATTTACATACCATTTACCCTGTATTAGGTATTTAAAGTATACTTGAGGCTATATACAAACATTACATCATTTCATATAAAAGACTTCAGCATCTGTGGACTTTGGTATCTGCAGGGGGTCTGGAGCCAATCCCCTACAGACACCGAGGGACAGCTGTTCACTCCTTTTTATTGCTGAGTAGTGTTCCAGTTGTGTGGAAACCCCATCTCTACTAAAAATACACAATTAGCCAGGTGTGGTGGCCCACGCCTGTAATCCCAGCTACTCTGGAGGCTGAGGCACGAGAAGTGCTTGAACCTGGGAGGTGGAGGTTGCAATGAGCCAAGATTGCACCACTGCACTCCAGCCTGGGCGACAGAGTGGGACTCTGTCTCAAAAAAAAGTAAAAAATAAAAATGTTTCTGAAGAGAAGTTTTTAATTTGATCAGCTTTAAGTTACCAATTTTTTCTTAAATGGCTTGTAATTTTTGGTTTTTACCTAAGAAATCTTTAAGAACCTGTTGTTTAATCCAACAACGAAATGATTTTCTCCTATGTCTTCTCCCAGAAATTGTATACATTTAAGTCTATGATCCATTTTGAGTTAATTTGCATATATGATGTGAGGTATCTTTTTTCTTGCAATTTTATTTTTATTTTTTATTTTTTTTGTAGAAACGAGGTCTCACTAATGTTGCCCAGGCTGGTCTCGAACTCCTGGTATCAAGTGATCCTCCTGCCTCACCCTCCCAGAGTGCTGAGATTACAGGCATGAGGCACTGTGCCTGGCCTTCTCTGCAGTTTATATATATATATATATGTATGTCAGCCAGGTGTGGTGGCACACGCCTGTAGTCCCAGCTACTAGGGAACCTGAGTCAGGAGGATCACTTGAACCAGGAGGTGGAGGTTGCAGTGAGCCAAGATGGCACCACTGCACTCCAGCCTGGGTGACAAAGCGAGACCCTGTTTTTTTTTAAAAAAAGTGTGTGTGTGTGTGTGTGTGTGTATGCCTGCAGGGCCCTATTGTGAATTTGTTACACAATTACTGCAACTTAAATAGTGCCACCACCCCACCATATGGCAAGCTAAATAGAAACTCATTTATGCTAAGGCTGGTTGAGGGCATTATAGAAGATTAGCATGGAAAGGGCCCTTCATTTCGCACTCTGCTCCATTCATTTTTGTCAGGTCACTTTCTTATCTTCTCCAGGCTGTCAGATCTGTTTTACTGCTCTAGCCTCACTTCCCTCAGCCTCCTGCAGCATCTTCCCTGTCAGCTAGATCCCTTCCTCTCTGGATGAAGTCCTCTTCATCGACCAGCTTTCTCACTTGGTTCTCTAAGACAGTGAGGATATGTCCGCTTTTTTCTTGACCATTAGTGGATAGGAAAAAGCTCTCATTCTCTGTAACCATTTGTCACCAAGGCCATAAAGACATTGAACTAACTGCCTTATGGGAGTTCGTTATTGGAAGTCTTCAGTTTACACATTGATATACAAAGTAAGTAGGCCAGTGCATTTGAGTCTTGGCTCATGTGTAATGATCTTTAATGCGTATTGAAAAATTATTCTCAAGTAAGGATAACATACACCTCAGGTCATTTACAGTCTCAAAGGTTTGTCAGTATACTTTAAAACAATCCTGGGAACAGTTCTAGATTGAAGGAGACTAAAGAATCATGCACTAAGTGCAATGTCTGATGTTTGATTGGATTCTGAATTTGTTTAAGCCATGTTATGACTGGGACATTGTAAAAATGTGTATATGGACTACATAGTAAACAATGATAATATTAAGTTCCATTGGGTGATGATAGTATTCTGGTTATGTAGGAGAATGCCTTGGTTCTTAGGGGCTGCACACTGAAGTATTTAATGAAGGGTCATTATGTCTGCAACTGACTCTCAAATGGCTTGTCCAGAACACGTGGAAAGCAACTGTGGCAAAGTATTAGCAACTGTTGATTCTAGATGAAAGTTATACAGGTGTTCATTATACCATTCAAAAATGCTTTCCAGCCATCCTAAGGCTTAAAGGAAAAAAACAAAATGTTTAAAATAAAAAGTTGGGGGCAGGAAAATAACACAAAACCTCTGGGCTCGTGCCTGTAATCCCAGCACTTTGGGAGGCTAAGGAGAGAGGGTTGCTTGAGCTCAGGAGTTCAAGACCAGCCTGGACTACATGGTGAAACCCCATCTCTACAAAATATACAAAAATGAGCTGGGCGTGGTGGCACACACCTGTAGTTCTAGCTACTCAGGAGGCTGAGGTGGGAGGATCACTTGAGCACAGGAGGCAGGGGCTGCAGTGAGCCGAAATTGCACCGCTGCACTCAGCCTGTGTAACAGAGCGAGACCCGGCCTCAAAACAAACAAAAGAAACACCTTTGTGTCAGAGTTAAGGTTGCTGTATAATAAAATGCTGGGGTACGGTTCTGGGTCCATTCCACATGAAGATCAGAGGCTTCCACTGGACCCAAAGGAATAATACTAGTCACTTGTGATTATTCCTCTGTAGGTTTGAAAGATGTGTCAGGCCAACTTATTGGATGCAGTTTTAATCTAAAACTCTATATACATTGTACCCCCAACTCATAGACTTCATGTATCCATGAAACACTCTTCTGTCTCAACAGTCTTAATGTGGCCCTAATAAAGCCATCCTTTTGGAGGACTCAGAAAAGGCCCCCACAACCTCTGCAACATAATAATATAGTAGTTGGCCAGGCATAGTGGCTCATGCCTGTAATCCCAGCACTTTGGGAGGCCAAGGCGGGTGGGTCACGAGGTCGAGACCATCCTGGCTAACACAGTGAAACCCTGTCTCTACTAAAAATACAAAAAAAAATTAGCCGGGCGTGGTGGCGGGCGCCTGTAGTCCCAGCTACTCGGGAGGCTGAGGCAGGAGAATGGCGTGAACCTGGGAGGTGGAGCTTGCAGTGAGCCGAGATTGCGCCACTGCACTCCAGTCTGGGAGACACAGCGAGACTCCGTCTCAAAAAAAAAAAAAATAATAATTATAGTAGTTAACTGCTATTGAGCACTCACAGTGTGCCAGGCATTTTTCAGGTATTGATTTATTTAATCCTCAAAATTCATTAGAGGTAGGTACTGTTATAATGACAAGGCCGAGAAACAGAGATTAAGCAATTTGCTCAAATTTACATTATTAGCAGAGCTGGGATTTAAGCCTGGTCTGGCTGTGGAATCTGTATTCTTAATGACCATGCTATACTCCCTGAGATTAACCTTTTACTCCAGTTACAGGGATTGTCTTTATCTCTCTGAAACTGCCCCCAATAAGCCATAACAATAAACTAATCAATTGTCTTGGTTATCTCTTCTTCCCAAATTTACATTTTGAATAAAAATTCAAACATGCCAGAAAGATGAAAGAATAGTACAGAAACTAATCGAAGATCAGGCACTGCATGTCATGTCTTCGTTTCCTTTCATCTAAAACATTCCTCTACTTTCTTTGATCTTTCATGACATTGGGATTTTTTAAGAGTCAAAGATAGTTGTCTTGTAAATTGTCCCACAATGTATATTTGTCGGTTTCCTCATGATGAGATTCAAGTTCAGGTTTTTTGGAAAAATACTGCATAGGTGATGTATCCTTCCTGCCTCATAACCGCAGGTGGCCTGTAATACTACGTTTGATCACTTGATTAAGGTGATCTTCCAGATCTCTCCATTGTAATTATTTTGCCGGGTGCAGTGGCTCACACTTGTAATCCCAGCACTTCGGAAGGCCTAGATGGGAGGATTGCTTGAGTCCAGGAGTTCTACACCAGCCTGAGCAACATGGTGAAACCCTGTCACTACTAAAAATACAAAATGAAAAAAAAAAAAAATTAGCTGGTCATGCTGGTGCAAGCCTATACTCCCAACTACTCAGGGGGCTGAATTTGGAGGATCACTTGAACCCAGTGGGGGTGAGGTTTCAATGAGCTATAATTTTGCCACTGTATTTCAGCCTGGGCGACAGAGTGAGACCTTGTCTCATAAAAAATACTAATTTTCTCCTTGGTAATAAATAATCTGTGGGTTGGTACTTTGAGTTCAGTGAAGATCCTGTTCTCAAATGTCTTTTCACCCAAATGTGCATCAGTGATAATCCTTGTCTGAACGAATTTTTATTACATTGGTGGTTGCAAAGTGACACTTTTAAAAATTCTGTCATTCCTTCTACATTTACTAGCTGGCACTATTTTGTTAAAGAAAAACTCCCCCTCTTTCTTTTTGAATATCACTCTTCATGGATTCTTCTTTATATTAACTATGTTGTAACTTATTGTTATTATTCTTTTGAATGGTCAGATTGTCCAGATTTGGCCAGTGCTATCTCTGTTATTTTTTAACCCCACAATCCAGGTTAAACTATTTTTAATGCCCAGAGTAATTTATATTTCCCACTCCCAACAGGAATTGAGAAAGGGCCTCCAGAAGTTGGGGACTTACTCAGACTCTTCTTAGAAGTCTACCTTCTTCCTGTGTACTTTCAGCCCAAAGTGAGACTTTTGAGTTGGGAAGAGATACTTCTGAATTAAACTACTGATCAGTGTCACCCAATTCTAATCTCAACCACCTTTATTCTAGGCATACCATACTCACTGCCATGCTTACCCTTCGGTTGGGCACCTTTGTCCTCCTTCCTATTGGCCTTCTGGTTCCTACCCAACTGTCCATCCATAAGCTTCAATAACACCTTTTTGCCCACCCCTGTGGTAGTGTTGGCCTGCCTCCTCTACCTACTCAAGTAACCTTTTTACCACTAATTTATTGTTCTTTGTTTTCATCTATAGGATCTTACCTAGCCATATGGCCTGCTGCCTCTGCCAATTTAAAAACAGCATTGAGGCTGTCTGCAAGACAGTCAAGCTGCATTGCAACAGTGCATGTCTGACAAACACCATACATTGTCGTGAGTCCAAATTGCCTGGAGATCAATTATTACATTATTTTAAGTATTTTTTTTTAAACTTTTTATTTATAATGATAAAATTTTAAGCTAATGATATAATTGCTTTATTTTTATTTACTCATTCAGAGTTAAACTCCCTCAATTTCTGAACTATTCCCTTGCTGAGAGTCAGGTTCTCAGTTATGATTACAAAATTTAATAACAGAACTAACTGTTCCATATGCACAAAGGACCAAAACAAAGGAATGGGAAGGCTAGGGAGTAACATTAACATCCACACACTGGGTACTGTGCTGTCTGCTTGGTGCTTTGCCCCAGTGATAATTTCTTCATACAGTGCAATGTAGTTTGTAAGCTGGTTTTTTTTTTTTTTGAGACGGAGTCTCGCTTTGTCACCCAGGCTGGAGTGCAGTGGCTGGATCTCAGCTCGCTGCAGCTCCGCCTCCCAGGTCCACGCCATTCTCCTGCCTCAGCCTCCCGAGTAGCTGGGACTACAGGCGCCCGCCACCACGCCCGGCTAGTTTTTTGTATCCTTTAGTAGAAACGGGGTTTCACCCGGTTAGCCAGAATGGTCTCAATCTCCCAACCTCGTGATCCGCCCGTCTTGGCCTCTCAAAGTGCTGGGATTACAGGCTTGAGCCACCGCGCCCGGCCCTGTAAGGTGGTTTTATATCCATGAGGTCTCGAGTACTCTCGGCCTTGTAGGACAGATGTAGGTCCGGTTTTGGTTTTTGTTTTTATAGTTTTATAAGAATACAAGTGATGCTGTTTTATTTGAAGCCTGAGAGCTTCTGGTTCCATAACCAGAAATTGCTGCCTGGCTCTTCTAATGGAATGGAGGGCTTTTCCATGCTTAGACCATCCAACGCTGAACTTGCTCTGAATTCAAACCTTTCTCTTCACAGAACAAATGCTCAAGTGCTTTCAGGAGTTTTTCTGTAGATTAGGTTTATTAGCACCAAATTCATGACTTCTAAAATGTGACGGCTTTCATGTCCAGATAGCTTGAATACAGGTATCTACCAGTGATACGGGGTGGATAATTAATAATGCTTGGCTACACAAAGTCAGTGGTGCTTATTTTTAAAAACTTTTTTTTTTTAAACCAATTATTCCCTTCTCCTGAAGAGGTGGGCAGAAAAGCATTGGTAATCTCCTTTTACAGATGAGGAAAAACAAGATCAGAGGTGCTAAGTGCTGTAGCCTAGTGCCAGGTCTTCTGTCCCCAATTCTGGGTTCTCCCCAAGCCCATGTTTCTCCTTTCTTACAATCTTTACTTCTTCCTCTGACCCTCAGCACCACCCAAAATACTTTTAATTCTGGAAAAGAAAGCCAGCTGCACACGGGCACACTTGACCTTCATGCAGTCAGAAGCTTTGGATGGTTCCCCATCCAGAATATTAGAGATGAAATGAAAGCAAAGTAGGCAACTGATAAAAGTTGCTTTTTCCCTTCTGCATTATAGGATCTCAAGTAATGTTTATCCAGAAACTGCTGTCATACCATAGATTCATTGTACATTCAACAACATAGGCATATAATCTGGCAAATTAAAAATCCCTTAACCTACCCCCTGAATCACTGCCCAAATTTAAGAACTAGGGTGGACACAGTTTTTTTTCCCATGTCCCATTTTCTGTGATGGGGCTACAGTGTGTGGGAGCAAAGAATGGGGTGGGTGGGTGGAGCACGTGCCAGATGAGGATCTATCAGCAATGGGAGGGGCTCTCCACTTTAGCATCTCCACCCTGCTCCTCTCAGAGGACCGCCTTTCACTGCATTCAGCTGTGATGGTAGCAAGAACACAGGCACACCGAGGACAAGGAGAGAGGGAGCCTTGTACTCTCTCTGCATGTGAGGCAGGACAGCACAGGGTATGGAGCAGTCTGCAGAGAGGCCAGCTCATCAGGGAAGGAGTTGTCTTCCATCTTGGGCTTAGACTGAGCATTTTTAACTGGCCCTTGTGGATCAATGGAATAATCCTAAGCAGACTTACTCTATGTCACACAATGGAATGTTCCAAGTAGGTGGCCATGTTTTCAAAAGATGTCTTTTCTCCTTTTGTTGTTGCCATTTTGTAGGTTTAGGATTGGGTGTGTGTTTCTCCTCTCTGAATGGCACTCGAATGTTTGCTGACTCCTACTCTGTGTGACTGGGGACATACAGCTGTGGACTGATGCATGCCGTCCCATCATCTTTCATGATCAAAACAGTCTCTTCTTTTTTCACAGCTGAAGAAGCATCTGTAGGGAATCCAGAAGGAGCGTTCATGAAGGTGTTACAGGCCCGGAAGAAGCACACGAGCACTGAGCTGACTATTGAGCCGGAGGTGCCCTCAGACAGCAGTGACATCAACTTGTCAGGCTTTGGGAGTGAGCAGCTAGACACCAATGACGAGAGTGAAGTTATCAGTGCACTAAGTTACATCTTGCCTTATTTCTCAGTGGTAAATCTAGATGTGAAATCAATGTTGTTACCGTTCATTAAACAGCTTTCTTCAAATGTGCAAGATGGAGATAGGCCCCTGGGTATTTTGAAAAACAATATAAAGGGCCCCTCTCTTCAACCTGCATCGGACAACTCAACTTACGAAATTTATGAAAATAAATTGAGAAAGCTGTACTTGCTGGAAAATATGTTAGATGCAGAAATACAGGAAAAAATCGATGAAGTTAAAAGGGAAGAAAAAACTGCCATGCTTATGCAGACCAGCCTTCTAGGTAACAAATTTAAACGCCAAATATTTGAAAAGAAATTAGAAACTGTCCAACCACAGGAAAACAGCCTGGCAAAGATTCAAAGTGTAGGCAACAACCTGCAGAGAGTGAACAGAGTCCTCACGGGCCCAAGGAGCATCCAGAAAAGGCACTTCAAAGAGGTGGGAAAGCAGAGCACCAGGAGGGAAGAGGGTGCGCAGGCATTTGTGGAGAGCGCTGCCCAAGAAAAAAGGCTCGGGAGCCCGGTCTCAAGGGAGCTGGAACAGCCTCACACAGAGCAGGGGCGTGAGAAGTTAGTGGGAAACACCGTCTACACCAAGCCTTCGTTCACCCAAGAGCTTAACGCAGCAGTGTCTTCTGTGCTGAAACCCTTCTCCATGGGCGAGCCTTCTGCCTCCACCCCTGCAAAAGCCCTACCTGAGGTCAGAGACAGATCGAAAGACTTAACCCACGCCATTTTCATTTTAGAAAACGCAAAGGCTAGAGTTAAAAGTATGAAGGCTGCCAAACCAATCGTACATTCCCGAAAAAAATACCGCTATCATAAAACTCGCTCCCGCGTGGCCCACAGAACACTCAAGGCCAAAAAGAGTCAAAAGTTCAGAAAGAAAAGTTACCTCGATAGACTGATGCTCGCAAACAGGCCGCCATTCTCTGCAGTGAACAGCCTCATAAATTCCCCTTCACAAGGGGCTTTTTCATCATTAGGAGACCCAAGTCCTCAGGAAAATCCTTTTCTGGAAGGATTTGCTCCTTCAGAACGTTTTACAGAAAACACTAATGTAAAAGACACAACTGCAAGAAATGCCTTTGAAGAAAACATTTCTATGGAAAACACTACTATGCCAGAAGGCACCATCTCTGAAAACACAACCTACAATCCTCCTCCTGAGGCAGATTCCGCTGGGACTGCGTTCAACTTAGGGCCAGCTGTTAAACGAACTAATCAGACACAATGGGAATACAACAACATGGGCACTGACCTGTCCTCCAAGCCCAAAAGCTTCAATTACCCTTTGCTCTCGTCTGCAGGTGATCAGTTTGAAAATCAGCTAACCGAGCAGCTACGTTCCCTCATCCCCAACAACAATGTGAGAAAACTCATTTCTCATGTTATCCGGACCTTGAAGACAGACTGCTCTGACACCCGTGTGCAAGTGACCTGTGCCAAGCTCATCTCCAGGACAGGCCTCCTGATGAAGCTTCTCAGTGAGCAGCAGGAAGTAAAGGCGTCCAAGGCTGAATGGGATACGGAACAATGGAAAACTGAGAACTATATCAATGAGAGCACGGAAGCCCAGAGTGAACAGAAAGAGCAGAGGTTGAGTGAGGTGAGGACCACACAGAAACATGAGACCCAGATTTGTCATCATTTAGTGTATGCCAGGAAAGTGCCCACACAGGAGAACCTGGGACTCCCAGGCCATAGCTTGTCCTGGTCATGTAACTTCGGCCATGACGGTGATCTTCCACTTTGCTCATGTAGAGGGTGAAATAGATTAGTGCACAAGATGAATTGTAGGTGAGGTGGGGTGGCTCACGCCTGTAATCCCAGCACTTTGGGAGGCCAGGTGGGTGGATCACTTGAGGTCAGGAGTTTGAGAGCAGCTTGGCCAACACAGTGAAACCCTGTCTCCACAAAAATTAAAAAATTAGCTGGGGTGATGACAAGTGCCTGTAGTCCCAGCTACTCGGGAGGTTGAGGTGGGAGGATCACCTGAGCCCAGGGAGGTCGAGTCTAGTGAACTGTGTTCACACCACTGTACTCCAGACTAGGTGACAGAGTGAGACTCTGTCTCAAAAAATAAAAATAAAAAAGAACCTGTAAGCTACTCACCTGAAATACTGGGGTTTTGAATAGTTAGCTCTCTCTTTTTTTTTTTAATTGTTCTTTTCTTTTCTTTTTTTTTTTTTTTTAGCTCACAAAAGAAGTTCCAGGATATGGCTATAACAACAAACTCATCTTGGCATTATTTGTGACCGAAATACTCACGACTTTGATTATAATTTTCTGCCTCATTCAGGTAAGGACAACAATTAATTCAGGTTTTCAGAATGCAGTCCTGTCTTTGTGTGGATTCAGAGCCCACAAACTCAAAACCAAAGCTGCTTTCCCACCTGCTGCTACTTGACATTCTTCAGTCGGTTAAGGCTGACGTACGCTTTGTTCTTTTACTGCAGTGTATATTCCAGGATTTTAAAGGATCCTCGCTTCCAGGAGGTCTCTGTGAATTGAAACCAAGTTAATCCCACTAGACTATTTTAAGAAGTTGATATAATAGCAAAATTTTCCCACCCAAAACGATGTCAACAATTGGATATACTCACCAAGTCACCCTTACTCTGCCACTAATTTATTTCCTTGTTGCTGAAAGGATGAGAGACGTATAATCTCCACCTCACAGAGTTGTCATCACCCTGGAGAGGAAGGAGACAGCCAAAAGAGAGAAGTATTGTCTTGTAGACTTATTAGGTTCACACAGTATCATCCTTTTCCAGTGTGTAAGGCATTGTCTAAATAGGTCCAGTTAAAGCACTACAGAGTAGCCATCTTTTAAAAAAGTTGATGGCCACATTTTTAAGTTCACAGGGGACGGGGAGCATTTCATGCTCCAGGCCTCCTGAGCCTAGGCCCTCTGTGAGATGTGTCACCATTTCTTGGAGACCATGTGAGACATTCCCCCTCGGATCAGAGATGCTCAACCTGCATTAAAATGTCTAAAGCCTACATCTGGCTACTCTGGGGCGAGTCCTGTTCACAGTGCCCATTCCTGGAGCTTGCCTCTGTTTGCCTTTTGTTCGATTACATGATCCCCAAGAGGCCACTGCTAGCATATTGGAAGTGATTTAATAAACTGGCAACCTTGACACTATGCTACCAATCCAACCTTACTTGCCTCATTTACCATTTCCATTATTGTGGCAGCCCTCCATTCCAGCCAGAGCAGCCCCTCACCATACCCCAGTCACACCATCCGCATTTCTGCTTTTGTGCATTTGTCCATCTAAAATGCCCTTATTTCACTCTGCCTGTGGGAATCCTATGAATCTCTCCAAAGCCAACTCAGGTTCATCTTCTTGACACCTTCCCTGAATATTCCAGCCCTCCTGAGCCTAGTCCCTTTGTGAGATTTGTCCCCATTTCTTGGACACCACATGAGAGACTTCAGAGGCTGAAGTGGGAGGATTGCTTGAGCCTGGGAGGTTGAGGATGCAGTGAACTGTGGTCATACCACTGCACTCTAGCCTGGGCAACAGCGAGACCCTGTCTCACAAACAGCTGCCACCAAAAACTATCTTGGGATTTGAACAGGATTACATTAAATTTGTAGATTAATTTGAGAATTGACATCTGTACGACATTCTAGGAACGTGCTATCTCACGTCCTGTATTCATTTCTTGTTAATGTCTTTCAGAAGAACTTTAGTGTTTCCATATATAGATCTTACACATCTTTTGTTAGATAAAAGATCTTTGCAGTTTTGTTTCTAAATACTTCATACATTTGTATTGCCATTGTAAATGGGATCTTTCCTATTGAATTCTTATTACTTCCAGTAAAATCTTAGTTGATTCTCTTAGGCTTCTTTAGCTAATAACATTTATCATCTAATATGCAAATAATGATAGTTTTGTCTGTTCCTTTCCAATACTTCTACTCTTTCCTTCCTTTCCCCTTTCCTTTTTTTTTTTTTCCCCCTTCTTAGGGCCTTGTTGTCACCCTGGCTGGACAGCAATGGTGTGCTCTATCTCACTGTAACCTCAATCTCCTGTGCTTAAGGGATCCTCCTGCCTCAGCTTCCTGAGTGGCTAGGACTACAGGCAGGCAGCTAATTTAAACAATTTGTTTGTAGAGAGAAGGTCTTGCTATGTTGCCCAGGCTGGTTTTCCTGCCACTTCAGAGGAAGGACTGAAGTTTTCTTTTTCTCCTACTTTTAAGAGTTTTTATTAGGAATTATCTGTTGAATGTTATCTAAAACAGTCAATAAAATGTATTAAGTGCTAGCTGCCTGCAAGACCCTAAGTTAGATACAGTCAGCCTCTTCATCAGCATGTCCACATCTTCAGATTCAACTAGATGAGGCTGAATATCTGAAGGGAAAAAAAAAATACAAATAGAAACTACAATATAACAGCTGTCACCGCTGTCCAATATCTACACATTTTATTAGTGATGACTTAAAGTACATGGGGCAAGGCATGGTGGATCACACTTATAATCCCAGCACATTGGGAGGCCAACCTGGGCAGCATAGTGAGACCTTGTCTTTACTAAAAAAAAAAAAAAAAAAATAGGTTTGGTGATATACATCTGTAGTCCCAGCCACTCAAGAGGCTGAGGTGGGCAGATCACTGGAGCCCAGGAGGTTGAGGCTGCAGCGAGCTGTGATTGTGACACTGCACTCCAGCCTGAGCAACAGAGGGCAATCCTGTCGCTAAGTAAATATGGGGGGATGTGTGTTGGTTATATGCAAATACTGCACCATTATATGTAAGGGATTGAGCATCCACAGATTCTGGTATGGTGTGGGGGCGGTATCCTAGAACCAGTCCCCCGCAAGATAGCAAGGATGACTGAACTGTGGAAGAATCAAAGCTCTGTTAAACAGCATACAATTCCTGTCTTCAAACAAGTTATCTCCTCAGGTAGATGAGATTTATAATGAATAAAAGGAATGAATACAGATTTGGAGATGGTTGTTGTGATGGATAATCTTAATTGCATTTTCTTCCAAAACAGATTTATTCTCACCGAAGGTCATCACAAGAAGATGAAGAAGGAGTCTCAAGGTAAATATTAGTCTGGTAATTTTTTTTTTTTCTTTTGAGACGGAGTTTCCCTCTTGTTGCCAGGCTGGAGTGCAGTGGCGCGATCTCAGCTCACCACAACCTCCACTTCCCAGGTTCAAGCGATTCTCCTGCCTCAGCCTCCCGAGTAGCTGGGATTACAGGCATGCGCCGTCACTAGTCTTGTGATTTTAATTAGAATTTTAGAATTAGAGGAGAGCTTAGAACTCTGCCCTCATTTTTCAGTGAGGAAACTGCCCAAGACAGGACAAATACTTAGTTACCCTCATGCTTAGCCTGGCTCCAGTGAAATTAGCTCCCCAGCCAAAAGCTGAGCTGGATGGAACTAACAAGGACACATCTGTTGTCCCCAGCCCTGTGGGGAGGGACAGGAAGGGGAAAGGTTTTGGTGCCTGTTCCTGCTGACGGTGGGCATCAGGCCAGGCCAGGGTCTTCTTGGAGGCTCTGGGGAAGGGGTAAGGAAGGCCACCGGGTGTGGGAGTGAGGGCACTCGTCTCCTTCAAAGCTGATGGAAGGTAGAATATGTGAGTCCTTCCTCGAAAGTGCAGGAAACACTACTTTCTCTTTTTATTTATTTCTTTTTTTTTTTTTGCCTGGATCCTAGAAGTGAGGAAACACTATTTTCTCATCTTACTGATTTTTGGGCCCCACTCTATTCCTTTTATGCAAACCTCACAGAATTTTAACTAGAAAGGCCAGGCAGGATGGCTCACACCTGTAATCCCAGCACTTTGGGAGGCCGAGGTGGATCACTTGAGGTTAGGAGTTCGAGACCAGCCTCATCAACATGGTGAAACCCCATCTCTACTAATCTCCACTGAAAATACAAAATTAGCTGGGCGTGGTGGCGCAGACCTGTAATCCCAGCTACTCAGGAGGCTGAGGCAGGAGAATTGCTTGAACCCAGGAGGCGGAGGTTGCAGTGAGCCAAGATCGCACCATTGCACCCAGCCTGGGGAACAAGAGCAAAACTGTCTCAAGCAAAAAAACAACAAACCAAAGAATTTTAACTACGAGAGACCTTAGACAGTATTTCATCGTTTTATGACAGGAAAACTGAGAAAGAGAAAGGGAGAATTGCCCCATGGTCACACAATGCACTCTGGCTTTTTCTATTTTATTCAAATTCAAAAAGAATATGTTGTCCTTTAAACTGATTTCACAGCTCACTCACTCACCAGCGACAGCCAGCCATATGAAGACTGTGAGATAGATAACTTGGCTACCTGCACTCAGGCATTTGCTTGAGGTGATGCAACTTATAGAATAAAGTATCTAGAAAGAAAAGAACCACTTCATCTCCCACCCCCCATCAAACGATGCCTGTGAGACTAAGTCTGAAGGGGACTGATATAAAATGCTTCTGCCCAGCATGGCTGTGCAGTTTATTCACTGCACAAGGGCACTTGGCCAAGGGGGTGACTGGGACTGAACATCCTGCCAATGCTCCATGCTGAGCCGCATACAAAGTCCCCCCGGTATATTGTGGGGCCCTTCTGAACAGACATGGAGAGTTTCTGAAAGTCCCACATGTATGGGATTATTTTCAGGACCCCAGGTATGTGGTCTGCGGTGGTTCTTCTCACTGTGATTATGGACTGAGGTACTCATTTAGTCCTAATAAGACCAGAGAAGTACATTGTGAGAGACGTGGGAAATGGCAGCATCACTCACTATCTTGTGCATGTGTCTCCCCAGGGGCATTTTCAGATTTCTGCCATGTAGGAGATGCTGTTCGCCAAGTGAGACTCAGGTACTTTGGAGGATTCATTGCTGTGGCCAGGGAAAGCCCAGGACATGCAAAATTAATACTTCCCTTTCTATCTTCTAGGATGGAGCTTTCTCATTCAGACAGCCGCTGTGGCTTAAAGATATGTACAAACCTCTCAGTGCCACAAGAGTAAATAACCAGGCAGAGAAGCTGCACAAGAAGTCATCTAATGAGGAGGAGATCCTCAGCAGGGAACCTGGGTAAATGAGGGGCCCTCACAGTTCCCAACTAAAATGAGGAGGGGGTGAGAAGCTTAATTGCTCCTTTCAAGAATCAAAACCTTGGCATTGTTATTCTTACCCCAGGGACAGCGAAGCCCCAACAGAGATGGGGGAGGAGAGTGAAGCCCAGTCATAGGAGGAGAAAGAGTGACCCCAGCCCGCCTCAGGCCTCCTGCAAAAATACATAGCATAAACAACAAGGGCCATCAGAAAGAAAAGCAGGACTGAAGCCAGCGGTCCACGCATCCACAGAGGCAGCGGGCAGAGGAAGCACAGCGCCGTCGTTCCCTCCCTTGTTTCCCAGTCTTATTAGTCACCCAGACCTGAAAACATATCCTCAGGGGTGGAGATTTTACAATTAAATACTGTTGTTCTCTTGTTCTCGGTGCCCTCTCCCTTGGTTCATCAAGCACCAGTCATAAAATACCACATACTTGACCTCCTGCCCACAGGCGACCTCCCACCTCCTGGCCTCTCATAGGATCACTGGGCCTGCCTGCACTGTGGGGCCAAGCCCCATCTTTTTCCCAAGCCCTCAAGCCCACGCATGAATGTTCATCCAGACTTGGTGGGAGCTTTTCACCCTTACAAGATGGCAAAAGGTTCACTTGGTTTTTTAAAAATTTGTTTTTCTTTTTAAAAATCCCAACCCTTGGATAGCAGGGAGATGCTGGAGGGGTAAGGTCAGGAAGAGTATGTGAGAGCAGTAATTTCCCAAGACTGCCCTCCGCGGGACTGTATTTCAGAAAACACACTGGGTGGGGCTACCTCTCCATTTACATGTACTGCCCCAGCCTCTCCCCATCCCCCGCTGATGCACATCCATAGCCGCACTGTTCCACAATGGCAGTAGAATGCTGCAGAAGGCGCAAGGATTCCTCCAGTCCACCTTCAAAGAAAAAGTCACCAATCACCTTTGGTAGGTTAGGGAACATTAAACACATTAGTGAGCAGAAGAAAATCTGAATGAACAGGAATTGGTAATCTACCTAACTGAACACAGATGAACTCAGGCGGTTGGTAACAGGAGGTAAAGAACGGCGCTAACTGCAGAACAGCTGCCCCCCACCTTCCCAGGAGCAGTGTGACTGGGAAGCAGCCCCGTGTGCGTGCTGGTAGGGGTTCTAAGCAAAGTGAGCCACCCATCAGTTCCAATGAGTTTGCTGATGCTGGACAAAAGACACCTGTTGTCTAGCTGCCTGCCCCAGTTATCTCCCAAAGTTCGTTACTGAGAATGAAAAGCATCTTTCTCTGTGTAGTGACTTCAGTGGGCCAACAAATATTTGAGTTTAAAGCACAAGACTAAATAGTCATAGGCAGAGCAGCAGCTAACAGTTACAATTTGCTTACTTGATGCTAAACCCTGGGTTAGGCATTTTACAGTCATATCAATTAGCCCAGCAATTCATGGAAGAATAGTTTTTAAATCACCTGACACTTGGGGAGGCCGAGGTGGTCGGTCGGATCACAAGGTCAGGAGATGGAGACCATCCTGGCTAACACGGTGAAACCCCGTCTCTACTAAAAATACAAAAAAAACTTAGCCGGGCATGGTGGCGGGAGCCTGTAGTCCCAGCTACTCGGGAGGCTGAGGCAGGAGAATGGCGTGAACCCGGGAGGTAGAGCTTGCAGTGAGCCAAGATCACGCCACTGCACTTCCAGCCTGGGCAACACAGCGAGACTGTCTCAAAAAAAAAAAAAAAAAAATTCATCATCTGACAGGCCGGGTGCAGTGGCTCATGCCTGTAATCCCAGCACTTTGGGAGGCTGAGGCAGGTGAACCGCCTGAGGTCAGGGGTTCAACACCACCCTGGACAACATGGAAAAACCCTGTCTCTACTAAAAAAATACAAAAATTAGCTGGAGGTGGTGATGCACGCCTGTAATCCCAGTTACTCAGGAAGCTGAGGGAGGGAGAATTGCTTGAATCTGGGAGGCAGAGGTTGCAGTGAGCTCAGATTGGGCCACTGCACACCAGCCTGGGTAACAGAGCGAGAGTCCATCTCAAGAAAAAAAAAAAGCCAAGACTAGAGATCCTTGAAGTGCTGAGCTCCCGAAGTCTAGATTCCAAGCACTTCCAGGTTCCTATTTTGGCATATTTACATAATTTCACACTTTGATGCTTATAATTTTTTTATATAACCAAAAAAATTTATGAATCTCAAATGTATTTTTTTTTTTTCAGAGAGGGTCTTGATCTGTCACCCAGGCTGGACTGTAGTGGTGCATTCATAGCTCACTGCAGCCTCAAGCTCTTGGGCTCAAAAGATCCTACCTCAGCCTCCAGAGTAGCTGGGGGTCTACAGGCGTGTACCACCATGCCAGCTACAATTCTTATTATTCCCAAATGCTACCCCACCATATTTCTAAAGACTCCCAAAATAAGATTCTACCTTGCCCGCAGTTTGTCCTCAATTGAGCAGTTTTGTGTAAGTCCAGAGTTTCTGCTGGGCCAGCCTGTGCATAAACTGTCTCTCCCAGGCTGGTGCCCATCCCTGCCTGTAGCCTGGGAGGGGGAGGGGCGCCCAGGGTCTCGTGGAACAAAACATGACTGCCTGGGCTACCTCTGTCTCCATCTCACTGATGGCAAATCACAGCTCAGTCAGCCAGGTCTTAAGTGAGACCTGAGTGCAAGAGAGAGGTAGACACAAGGCCAGCAGCTACTAAATGAACTAAAATTCTGATTCCAATGAAACCTGCCAGAGAAATAAAGCATTTTTAAAAGAGGATGAAATAAGGCGATATCTGATTAGAGCAAACATGATGCAGACAGGAAATGCAGCGGTTCAGAGGAGGGAAGGTCAGGCCACCTGGGGAGAGTCCATGAAAAAGATGGAACGTGCCAGACGCTGTGCCTGGTGCTGGGAAAGAGTTGACTAGGACAGCATCCCTTTCCTCAAAGGGCTCCTAGACTCGGGGGAGGGCCGGACATCTGAATACATCCTGAGGAGACAGTGTGGGACGGCACGGTGGCAGTGGAGCCAGCCCTGGTTCTGTTCTTGGTCGGCTGGAAAGGAGTAGATGTAAAGGATGGCTTAGAAGAAGGGAAGTGGAAGAAAAGTTTTCTGAGCTGACAAGAGGAAGGAAAGGCCTTCTAGACAGGACGCTACCAAGGCAGAGAAGCCCTAAGCAGAGTGAACACCAGACTCCACAGGTTAAGGGCTCAGTCACACAGGACCGCCCCCACATCAGACCCCAGGTGCAAAGCCAAGCATCACCTATGCATCTGACCAGCTGGCTATAAACGAGGTCCCAACAGCTCCCTCCTCAGGTTTGAACATTTGCTAGAACAGCTCACGGAACCCAGGAAAACAGTTTTCTTACTATTGCTGATTTATTACAAAGGATATTTTAAAGGACACGAATGAACAGCCCGATGAAGAGATACACAGGGTGAGGTCTGGAAAGGTCCTTGTGGAGTTGGGGTGCACCACCCTCCTGGCACATGGATGCGTTCGCCAACCCGGAAGCTCTCCAAGGCCTGTCTTTTAAGGATTATTCTGGAGGCTTTGTCACGCAGGTGTGATTGAGCTCCAGCTCCATTCCCTACCCCAGAGGCTGGGGAATTGGGCTGAAAGCACAAAGCTTCCACCCATAGTTAGATCTTTCTGGTGACCAGACCCAAATAAAGAGCCCACCAAGAGTCACCTCATGAGAACAAAGGACGCTCCCATCACTCAGAAAATTCCAAGGATTTAGGAGCTCTGTGTCAGGAACCAGGTTCAAGGACCAAATGTTAGAATAAAAGATGTGCAACCATAAAAAACAGCGAGATCATGTCTTTCACAGGAACACGGATGGAGCTGGAGGCCATTATCCTCAGCAAATTAAGACAGGAACAGAAAACCAAACACTGCATGTTCTTACAAGTAGGAGCAAAATGATGAGAACTCAAATACAAAGAAGGGACCAACACACACTAGGCCGTACCTGAGGGTGGAGGGTGGGAGGAGGGAGAGGAGCAGAAAAAACTATTGGGACTAGGCTTAGTAGCTGGGTGACGAAATAACGTGTACAATAAACTGCTGTGACACAATTTTACCTATATAACGAACGTGCACATGTGTCCCCATAACCTAAAAGTTTTTTTTTTTTTAAAGAAAAAAAACCCTGGGAGAAAAGAAAAATGATACATTTTTTTAAAAAAAGAAGACAATGCTCCTAGCACCCCCATCATTCAGGAATTTCCAAGGGTCTTAGGAGCTTTGTGTTAGGAACTGGGGGCAGAGACCATATATATATTTCTTCTTATGTTACACTACCCCAGATAGGAAAACAGAAATTACCCTAGCTATTTCAAACAAAAAAGGGTTGTATATAGGCAATTAGTGCTTATCACTGGAGGGGCTAGAGGTGGTGAAGGTTGGGGAGGAGGAGGTTGCACCCTGGCTTTCAGGCTGCTTGATCACAGCTGATTTCCAGAGGATGGAAAATGTCAGGAAACTCGGGAAACCGCTGCTGAGGTCCTTGCAGCCCCACGGTCCCCAGGCTGGTGACTAGTGGGGGAGTATGGAGTCCAGCTGACCAGAGCCTGCACGCCTGCTGCTATGAGGGAGGAAATGATGACTTCTACCTCCTTTCCACATTCCAAATCCCACGTGACTCCATTTTATTGGCAGCACCCCGCTGGCAAGGGAGCCTTGATGTGTGCTTCCTGGGCTTCCAGCAGCTGCACACAGAGGGGTGAGATTGTCACGAGCAGCCACCAGTCTGCATCACACCTCCACATCCAGGCATGTCGGGGAGCGCCACTTATGCTTGGAGGTGTCCTGGCGCCCTACCCACTTTTGGTAGGCATTTGGGTGTCTGAGGCTTTGCAAAAGAAGAAGGCGGGGAGTCTACAGTGGAGTCACATGGTGGAGTCCTGTCACTCTAGCTGGGCAGCAGGTGACACACAATCATGCCCTGAGTTGATTGGAGAAAGACCTGGGATTGACCCAGAGCTTGTTCTGGAATGTTTTCACTGGAATGAAAGCTGAGCAGTCTGCAGGCCATATAGTATTGGAGGAAACATAGCCCTCATTGAAAAAGGCTGCCAGAGAAAAGGTGTCCACAGGGAAATTCAGGGGTTTTGGTGGTTTGAGTTTTTTTTTTTCTTTTTGTTTTGAGATGGAATTTCGCTCGTGTTGCCCAGTCTGGAATGCAATGGCATGATCTCAGCTCACTGCATCCTCTGCCTCCTGGGTTCAAGCAATTCTCCTGCCTCAGTTTCCCTAGTAGCTGCGATTATAAGGCATGCACCACCATGCCTGGCTAATTTTTGTATTTTTTTTTTTTGTAAAAACAGAGTTTCACCTTGTTGGCCAGGCTGTTCTTGAACTCCTGACCTCAAGTGTTCCACGCTCACCTTGGCCTCCCAAAGTGCTGGATTACAGGCATGA